GAGGATATGAAGGCAGCAGGTGGAGATAACTCCATACGATTGGTGGTGAAGTGGACAGAGATAGGACAGCAATGATGGGGTGCTTGGGTGCTTGTACTTGGACCCCAATTTCTCCCTAGCCTCAGAAACACTATCCCTGACAGTTTCTCCTCAGCCCAAGGACACTGTGCCTAGCAATTACTCATGAGTGGGCCCCAGAAAGACCCTTATTTCTTTCCTTGGTGCAGTTCCAAACGGCACCTGAAGGAATTATTAGTTTGAACTGACTTTGCACTGGGTCATAAAGACATTTTTACCCACTAGACTGTCTCCTACCACCCTACCTCATTATCTACATCCTGGACTCCTCATTATCTGTATTCTAGACTTAAGACATATGTATACTCCCTACATCTATCTTGTCAAACAAGACATTGACTGGTGGCAGACTGGACAACTCTCAGTTACCCCTGAACTCTAGTTAACTTAGTGACATAGCAGGCCTAAAACCACACCTCCATGTGGCCCCCCTTGTGGGCTTTTCCTAGTGAACTCTGGGTAAACCACCTGCGCAGTAGATACAAGAAGTGCATGTTCTTTTAAGAACTGACCACTCCTTAACCACTCCCTAATCCCACCCTGAATCACCTAGTTAGCATATTTGGCACATGTTTTATTGTATTTTATCCTATATAAACTTTAACTGTATCACTCTAAGATGGTAGGATCCTTAAGAATCCTTGCCTGCTGAAAAGCATAATAATAAACTTTTCCTCTGGCTGGAAGAAGATTTGAGTTGAATTCATTCAAGCAGGGCCCGGTGCCGCGATCTTGGGGTGTCCCCCTGGAGCACCCCAAAGTCCTAGACCTCTTCAGTAGGAGGGAGGAAGTGCAGAAATCAGGGAAAAGGAGTTATTTTTGTTTCTTTGCTTAAGAATGAGAAGACTAATTTTTCATGCTGATTGTAACTGGTCTGAAATTTAAAATCTAGTTGATAAGTATAAATCAGGTCTTCTAGATGCCAAGTCCAGCACTCTTATCCACTCTGCCTCTCTCACCTCTCTCTGTCTATTTATTTAAAACCATACTATTTCCAAAAAGAATTTGCATATAAAATTATATACTGCACAAAAATTGGAAAAATAAAATGGAACAAAAAAAAGCCTTTTACAAGAAGAGAAATCAGTGTCACTGGGATGAGATAATTATGGTGGTTAGCAACTCATTTTAACTCTGGGAGTCGAGGGATCATAGCTTTAAAGCTGGATGGGACTTGAGAGGTGATCTAGACCCATCTTTTCATTTTAAATAGGAGGGAGGACCTGACTTAGCCACGGTCACACAGTTTCTAAATAGCATTGCAACCAAGTCTGAATTCAAATCCTGTATTCTTAAATCCTCCGGTGCTACTCCTTCTTCAGGCCTTACTATGAAAGCAAAAAAGAGGAAAACGTTGCCTAGAGTAGTATTTCAATGATAAAAAGAATCAAACAAGATCAACTGGAAAGACAAATTTCCCTGACTCTGAATACAAAAAGGTATTTATCATCTTGGTTACTATCACTGCTGTTTCTTCACAGCCTGGTGTAGTCCACAGAAGAGAGGCCTTGGAGCTAGGAAGGCCTTGGCTCAAGCCTTGCTTCTGACATATAATGGGTTTGGAGACCCCAGTAGTTTCAAAGTGTGGTCTGGGGAGCCCCTGAGGGCAAAACTATGTTCATAATAATACTATGGCATTTTAATTTCTAATATGGGAAATATGGATAGATATAAGCCACATAAACAAAAACTCTTTTGGTGGATGATCTTCAAAAACTTTTTTCAGCCTGTGAAGAGTCTTGAGACCAAAAAGTTTGAGAACAGCTAACCTATGCCAATGAAATCACAGGTTGGTGCCCCACCCCCACCCCTACTCCCACCAAAAATAATTACAGCAAAAAAAGTGCCTTAAAAATTGTAAAATGGTGTAGAGAGTTTTAAATAATATTATTATAGTAGCAGCAACACCAACACTAAATTTGAACATAATATTAGTATTGCTGCTATTAATAATATGAAAAATAACTCACAACTATATATCAATTTAAGGCTTACAAAGTGCTGGGTCCTTATAGAGAGGCCAGTCAATAATTTTTTTTTCTTTTTTTAGGCAATTGAGGTTAAGTGACTTGCCCAGGGTCACACAGCTAGTAAGTGTCAAGTGCTTGGTCTGAGGCCACATTTGAACTCAGGTACTCCTGACTTCAGGGCTGGTGCTCTATCCATCGCGCCACCTAGCTGCCCCCAGTCAATAATTTTTTAAAAATTAAATTTTATTTTATTTTATTTTCAGGTCCAAATTCCCTCCCTCCTATCTCCAAAAGGCTCTCCCTCCATTGAGAAATCAAGAAAAACAAAATAAAACAAAACAAATTAAAAAAAAACCCTTTTATAAAGATATATTATCAAGCAAAACAAATCTCTGCATTAGCCAGACAATAATTAAGGAGAATTAGTACATATTGATTATAGGATTCAGAGGTGGAAGGGACCTTAGAAGTTATCTTGTCCATCTACTTCATTCTACAGATAGGTAAACTGAGGCACGATGGCTTTACCCAAGGTCAGAAGAGGTAGCACAGGATTCAAACCATGGGTCTTTGCCTCCAAATCCAGGACTAGTTACAGTACCACTACATCAAATCATATGTCAGAAATACAAACAATCTGTGAGTGTCATGTACTCCGCCCAGTAATAAGGACACATAACTATGCATCTATTTAATGTGCTATGTTACCTAGTCTGGGGAGTGACCAGGGTTACCAGAAGGGTAATGTCTTCATGGTTTGGCAGAATTCTTAAAATGTATCTCTTTTAAGTGGTCGAATACAAATTTCTCTGTTTGGCTTTTGTCCTTCATAACCTGAACCTCTTCCACCTTTCCCATCTTCTTGTACCTTAATCCCCTTTATGTACTGTTGCATTCAGTAACACTGGCCTCCTACCTGCTCCTGGCTCATCTCAAGACTTGGAGTGTTTCCACTGGCTGTCCCCCATTCCTAAAACACTCTCACTCTGTCTCCACAGCTCTGCCTCATAGTTTCTCTGGTTTCTTTCAAAGTCCCACCTTCTGCAAGAAACCTTTCCTGGGCCTCTGTCATTTTAGTGCCTTCCCTTTCAGATTCTCTCCGGTTTATCCATCATATATATCTTGTTTGTACATATTTGTTCAAGTATTCTTTTCCCTGTTAGACAGTGAGCTCCTCGAGGGCAAGGGCTGGGTTTTTTTTTTTGCCTTTCTTTATATGCTCAACAATTGGCACTGTTGCCTGGCCCATAGGTAGATGCTTAGCTGCTGATCAACCTTTTAAAACCTTTAATGATGGATAAACTCACTACCACTAATAGAATCATAGGATTTATAACCATAAAGCACATTAGAGACTATTTTTACATCTGAGGAGACTGACACCCAGAGGGGTTAAGTGACTTGTGTAAGGTCATTGGTAAACTGAGGCAAAGTGGCTCCACTGTAAGTAGCAGAGCTGAGGTCTTCTTCTGACTCCCAATTATCCCTCTTTCTGCTGACACCACTACTGTATCTCCTTTCCACTTATGTTAGGGAGTTTTTCCTCACACTGAAATCTGTTTATTTGGGACATACACTTATTAAACACCTTCTATGTGCAGGGCCTTGTGGATTCAAAAATGGAATTGACAGGGTCCCTCCCCCCTGGAGGAGACAACACCCTAATGGAGGGAGGGGATGGCATGTGCCTGAGGGATGCCATGCGGATGGTCTAAAGGTGAGGGAGAGATCACTTTCATTCTGTGAGACAGGGAATGCTTCAAAATGGAGGGAACAATTGAAAACTGTGACTTGGGTAGAGGGATGAACTCTGTGTGGAGCGAGCAAAGTCAGAGAGATGAGAATTTAATCTGGCTGAAATGCAGAATGAAGGGTAGTATAAGACAAAGCATGAAAAGGAAGCTGGAGCCAGACTGCAAAGGGCCTTGAATGCCAAGTTAAAGTCCTTCATATTTTATTTGCTCCCCATCAGGAAGCCTCTGGAGATGACTTCCACCCCCTTGCTCCTAGTTCTGCCCTTTGGAGCCCAAGGGGTCCCCTCCCCCACCAAGGAGCACACTCGAATCAGGGTAAGTAGAAGTGGCAGTCTTTTGCTAAAGTTTGGCAACCCAGAAAGATGCAAAAGCCTCTGCTGCTCACTTGCCCTGGGGCCCCAGTGCAGATCACTCAAGGTGCCTAGGCTGGAATTTCCACCTTTGTAGCAGCAGGGGCTGGGCGTGGGGAGGGGTCAGACTTAGTTGCTCTTTGGCTCTGATAGTTCCTTAGTGCAGGCTCTTTGGTGGCAGGGGCTGTATTTAAAAAAAAAATTTGTCTGATCCCAGAGCTTAGATGGACCTTTGGCACACAGTAAGTGTTTAATAAATGCTTTTAGTTCATTCTAAGTTCAAAGGCACGAAGAAAGCCCTGAGAATTTGGCCCCTGCGGTTCACATATTTATGAAGGGGTGACTCGCTTGGCTTTCTGGGAAAGCACTGCATTCATTGGAGGCCGGGAGACCACTTAACAACCTGCTGTCAACTTGTCACATACTCTCAGGGCCTCAAGTTTTCTCCAAGTAAAACGAAAGGTGGAAGGATGGATCCTTCCATCTCTAAATCCTGGCTCCCAATACACCGACACGCTTACAGCCTCATTTCTAGACAAGACGCATCAACCACCCCAATCCACTCACACACTCACCCACACCCGCGTCACCCACGAGTGCTCATTCAAATTTCGCCAGCAAATCACAGCAGTCAGAAATCCTTTCCTCTGCTGTTCATTGGCTGGTTCAGAGAAGCAGTCCTGGCACGGGTCCCTCCCCTTAGTAGCGAACCAGTAAGGGAAGACGGGATCGCGTCATCGTGCGGCTGCTTAGCTATTAGTTGAGTTTCCTGTCCGTCTGGCAGCGCAAGGGGCGGGCTCAAAGCCGACGGCCTATATAAAGGGAGGACAAAGGCGGCGCGGCGCTTGTATCCCCCGCCATTTTGTGATCAGCAAGGTGGCCTCCACGTTTCCCGAGCGACTTCTCCGCTTTTGCCTCGCCCGCCCGCTGATTACGGACATGTCCCGGGACCGGTTCCGGAGTCGCGGGGGCGGCGGTGGCGGCTTTCACCGGCGCGGTGGCGGCGGCGGGAGAGGAGGCGGCCTAAGCCATGACTTCCGTTCACCGCCGCCGGGTATGGGCCTGAGCCAGAATCGAGGGCCGCTGGGGCCAGGCCCCGTCCAGACCGGGCCTAAGCCCTCCATCCCGCCGCCTCCGGCGCAGGTACTGGCGCAGCAACAAGCGCAACAGGCGGCCGCAGCAGCGGCAGCGGCTGCTGCAGCAGCCGCGGCGGCTCAGCAGCAACAGGCGTCGTCGCCAGACCCGCCGAAGCCAGGCATCCCTCCCGGCAGCAGCCCCGGACCCACGGTGGGCACCGCCGCGCCGGCCTCTGTCTCCGCGCCATCCGCGCCGCCCCCGGGCTCGGGAGGGCCTCCCGGCCCTGGCTCGGCGGCCTCCCAGGCCTCATCCGGACCGTCGGCCCCTCCTGGGGGGCCTCAGCAGAGCTCGTCGACCCCGGCCTCAGTGTCCTCCGGCGCTAGCGGGGGCCCGCCCCCTCCGCCCCCGGGCGCCACGGGCCCTAAACCCGGTCCGAGTCCTGGCGGGCCCAAAGGGAAGATGCCTGGAGGGCCCAAGCCTGGGGGGCCGGGCATGACTCCGCCTGGAGGACACCCGAAACCTCCACACCGGGGCGGCGGGGAGCCCCGCGGGGGCCGGCAGCACCACCCGCCGTACCACCAGCAGCAGCCTCCGCCGCCGCCCCATCACCAGGGACCCTCGCCCGGCGGGCCTGCGGGCCGCAGCGAAGAGAAGATCTCGGACTCGGAGGTGAGTGAGCGGCGCGTTAAAATGGCGGCTGACGCCGATCCTGCTCCCTTTCCTTTCCCCCCCTCCCCCCCTCGAGCTCTCGGACTCCATTTTGTCGGCATCGAGGTGGCTGGGCGCATGCGTGAGCAGCGCCCGCCAGCCTACTCGCGCGGGGCCTCGCGTGGCGCGAGCGGGCGGGGGTGGGGGTGGGGAGGGGGCCCGAAGACCGCTCGGTGGTTCGGTGACGCGGCGGCGCCATTTTCTTCACCTTAGGGTGTAATGGATCCTAATAGGGCTTGTTCGAGGCTGGACAGGAGGGGGGGAGGCTGGGATGTGATGTAGTAAGATGGCGCTGGTTGGAGGAGGAGGAGCTGGGGGGAAGCTGGGCTGCTGCCCTTTCCGTGTTCTTGCTGCCGCCGGGGAGGTGGGGCCGTGTTCCCCACCGAGGCACTCTCGGTATCCTGCTCTTCCCCCGCCGGCCTGCCTCTGTTTCCCTGCCTTTCCGTTGGGTGTTTGTTTTCGCTTCAGAGTAGTCTTGTAATTATTATCTCCTGCCTGCCCCTCCCCCCCTGCTAACGGGAATGTGATGAAAGGAGGAGAAACCAACCCAGAGGTCAAAATAAATCGGATGCCCCCCGAGTTATTGCCTAGCTGGGAAAATAGCATTTTTTTGGTGAGGGCAGGAGGCAGTGAAAGTTAATTCATAGTAAGATTTCATTCCTCCTTGGCAAGTCTGGAAAAAACATAAATTCTTAGTTTTGTGGGTACTTATCTTAGTCTTGATCGAAAACTCCCCCCCCCCTTTTTTTTTTTCCCTCAGGGCTTTAAGGCAAATTTGTCTTTGTTGAGAAGGCCTGGAGAAAAAACATATACACAGCGATGTAGGTTATTTGTTGGAAATCTGCCAGCTGATATTACAGATGAAGACTTTAAAAGATTATTTGCTAAATATGGAGAACCTGGTGAGGTCTTTATCAACAAGGGCAAAGGATTTGGTTTCATCAAACTGGTGAGTGTGTTTCTGCTCTTTAGTCACTAGAAGATACCTATGTGCAATACAAAACACATTGTATTGTTTTTCATTTTGGCTTTAGGACTTGGGGACACGCTGAAGAGTCCAGAAGTCTGATTTCCATGTGTTGATTCACTTAAAAGACTAGAGTCTCTCTTTTTTTTTTTGGCAGTTGGGGTTAAGTGACTTGCCCAGGGTCACACAGCTAGTGTCAGGTGTTTGGTCTGAGGCTGGATTTGAACTCAGGTACTCCTGACTTCAGGGCCGGTGCTCTATCCACTGCACCGCCTAGCTGCCCCGAGATTGGAGTCTCTTAATGGCTTAGGGTGGGAGTGGGGAATATGTGGCCTTGAGGCTGAAGGTTGCCCCACTCCTGTTTAGGGTGTAGCTAAATGGTATTCAATCATGCCCTTATTGTGGCTTTATCATCTTGAATGGTAACCTTGGCAGAGGTTTTACTGACATAATCTCGGACAGCTAAGGTTTAGGTTTATACAGGCAAACTTCCAAGCCTTGAGTATATGTAAAGAGTTAGGTCTATAGCTCACACAACATCTTTCTTTGATAAAATGTTAAATATTAAGCCAGCAGAAATTGATGCTGCATATTTCTAACATATCTTTAAAATGCACATATTATTGGTACCTAGGCCTTTGGTATAGCTGGTGTGGCATCCTCAAGATGTTCTGTAACATGACGGTCTTAGTTTGGTCCACTAGAGGCAGTGTGCTGTAGTGGAAACAAATCAAGTGTTGGGTCTCCAGGCTCTGCCACTTTAGCTCTATGACCATGAGCAAATAAGTTGTGTGTGATTTCCTGTACTTCATCTTTCTCAATGATAAACATTTGATAGTTAAGCAAATATTTATGCATAGTATGGCATGGAGTTTTGGAGAAAGTCTTGGTTTTTTTTTTCCCCGTTCTAAACATTTTGCCAGACAACCTCCTTCCTCTGTGCCTGCACAACTTGTTTTTCAATTCACCAATGTATTTATGTAATCTGTGAGTGGCCGTGTGGCATAATATCTTATATTTATATATCACTTTAAGGTTTGCAAAATGTTTTGCCTAACTTCATTTAATGGGATGAGCCCTGGGACTTGGTCAGGAGTCACCTGGGTTCAGTTTACTGTGTGATCATGAGCAAATCATTTTGCTTTGGCGATTTTATCATTTTGTACAGAAAAGAATAGAAGTAGTTGTGCTGATCAACTGAGAATGTATTTAAAGCATTTTGTGAACTTTGAAAGTGCTATAGTAACATCACTTTCATAACCCAGTAGACTGTAAGTTTTATCAGGATAGATACTGTTAAGTTTATGTGAACTTTATGTTCCAACACTTCACACGCTATTTTACGTACTTAGATATTTGAGTGAGTCATATCAAATGAGCCCGTTAGGAACAGATAGCAGCTTATATAGTGCTTTAATCTTTACTTACTACTTGGTACACAGCTGTGAGGTGCGTAACATAAGTAACAGGCATTTGTATCATAACAATTTGCAAATCAGTTTTTATGTGCATTTGCCTATGAGTTTCACAACTTTCTGGTGTAGATACTGTAGTTATCTCAGTTTCGTAAATAAAGAAACTGAAGGGATGTGTTTCTGGTCACCCAGGTAGGCCAAATTTTTGAAGACTTCTGAGCCTAAGACTTGTACACAACTTTTAAGACAAGTACACTACTCTGAAGAAGTGAAATCATACAGATGGTAAACCTTGACCTCAAAGTTAGAGCTAGGGTCATTTGACTCCTAGACCAGCATGTTTTTCTGTAGAAAATCCGTTTCTTCACCTTTATTCTTGGGAAATTAAATAAAATTATATAGTTTGTCCCCAATTCAGCATTGTCAGATCCAAGGTTGTTAACATGTTGAATATTTGATATTTTCAGGAATCTAGAGCCCTGGCAGAAATTGCAAAAGCAGAACTTGATGATACACCCATGAGAGGGCGACAACTTCGTGTTCGATTTGCCACACATGCCGCTGCCCTCTCTGTACGAAATCTTTCACCCTATGTTTCCAATGAATTATTGGAAGAAGCATTCAGCCAATTTGGACCTATTGAAAGGGCTGTTGTGATTGTTGATGATCGAGGGAGATCTACAGGAAAAGGCATTGTTGAATTTGCTTCTAAGCCAGCTGCAAGAAAAGCATTTGAACGATGCAGTGAAGGAGTATTTTTATTGACAACGTAAGCCATCTCAAATTTTTAAGTTCTGTTAAATTTAGTACATGAGTATGGTGTAGCACAGAGATGTCAAACATGGTCCACAAGCCTCCTAAGTGAACCTAACCTGAACCAGATTAAAATGTACTTGGCACATCTTTAACAAAAACAATAAAACCACATGTAAATATTAACGTGGGATTTTTCTAAGTCAGTACATGGCGTGCAAGGATCCTTATGTACAGTTTAGTGGTCCCTGTTTCTATTTGAGTTTGGTACCACTAGTATGGGGTTTTTATCTAAAGTGGGTGTGGAAACCTGAATAACTTGGGTGTTTTCTTTTTTTTCCACATTAGAACTCCTCGTCCAGTCATTGTGGAACCACTTGAGCAACTAGATGATGAAGATGGTCTTCCTGAAAAGCTGGCACAGAAGAATCCAATGTATCAAAAGTGAGAGTTATTTTACACTTGAATGTTTCAAAAGGGTTGTGATTTTCCTTTAGAATACATCTCTGTGCCTTACAAGACAGTTATAAGTTGTAGTGGCCTTAAAAAAAGCCACTCATTGGTGGCTAAGTCATTAGTAGACAACTTTTTTTTCTTTCTTCAAAAACCTCTGTGTTTCAGATCCCTAAATAAATAGCCTTTCTAGAGCTTAGGGTCTCTTGTATATCACAAAGGCACTGCAATGTTACTGTAGTGGAGGAATGTTTTATTTTCCTTGTTAAAAAGGGAGATGGGGTGGGAAATGGAATTAAACTATACACTTGCTGCCAAAATTCTAGATGTTGGGGGCCACTAGGTGGCTCAGTGGATAGAGCACTGGCCCTGAAGTCAAGAGGACCTGAGTTCAAATCTAGCCTCAAATCAAACACTTGACACCTACTAGCTATGTGACCCTGGACAAGTCACTTAACCTCAATTGCTTTTAAAAAAAAAACAAAATTCTAGGTGTTTATTAAAAGGATGGTTTTTAATTATAGTTGGATCCAGACCCACTTTAATAACTGGACCAAGGTTCTGGAGATCTCATCCAAGTGATTGAATCAGACTAGGATAATAAGTCTCAGGTGAAATGAGAAGAGTTTTACTCGTGTTTAAAAAGTAAGAAACAATCCTACAGAAATTAGAGTTGGAAGCAACCTCGGTACTCTTCCCTTTTCCCTCTCTACCCCCCTTAATTGAAAGGAATCCACAGAATCTAAGGATTTGAGAGTTAGAAAGGGACTCAGTAGCCATCCAGTCACTGCTCAGGTTTTGGCTTCTACATTACACTGCTGATTTTGTTAATTGTGCAATCTTAATTTAAACTGTCGGATTTTTTCGCACAACCTGTTTCTCCCCATTGTGTGCCTGTGGAGTTTTAAAAATTTGGGATAAAACTTTACATACATCTTTATCAAATCTGATCTTTTTAGGTTCAGCCCAGTAAGCCACCTTTTATGTTATTTTCAGGTCCTGTTTTTCATTCCATTGGCTGTACCTCTTGGTTTAATTGTCTAGTGCAAATTTGATGACCTTGTCATTTGTACCTTTATCCAAATCATGGATAAAAATCCAGCAGGATGGATAAAGTAACACAGGGCCAACCAAGTGCAGATAGCAAAGCAGGATCCGCTGGAGAACTGGCCAAGTTGGAACCCTTGATAACTAGCTATTCTCTTGGGAGTCTGGGCATTGAACTGGTTTTAAATTTTATGTAATCTTATTAATTAGTCCACATGTTTCCCATCTCCTTCAAGCCAAACTCCCTGATTATAGTTTGCAGGCCATTCTCAGGCTAAGAATAGGGTGACAGCGATTCACGTGAAAAACTTGGGGATTCTGGTGGATTGTAAATTGAGTGAAAATATGAGTTACCAGTGTGATGGCCAAAGGGGGAAAAAAAAGCTGTTGTAGTCTTAGCTACATCAGTAGGAGGAGGGTGTCCATAATAAGAGAAGTTAGTTTATAAAATTGTCCTGGTCAGATCACATCTGAAATACTGTATTTGTTTGGAGTGCCCCATTTTATAAATGGCATTAAGAAGCTGAAGTGCATCCAGAGGAGGGTGACCATGAAGTTGTTATGGAAATGGGTTGAAAGAATTGGGGGTCTTTAGCCAAGACATCTTTGAAGCTGTGGAGAAGGCAGGTGGGTCTGCTTTGAAGAGGAGAAAAAAATGAGTCCGAAGGGCAGGTTTTTGACAACCTGTTAGTACCCAAGGGCAAAAAAGGGGTGTAAATGTCTGTTACTATGTCCTTGGATGCCACTTTTTGCTCGCTAATTTTTTTTTTGTAGAACTACTTATTCTGCCTTGTCCAGAATAGTTCAGTTTTAGCACAAAATCTCTTGTCCCCAATTTCTCTTTTGGAACGTCTCCCTTAATCCCATTGAACTATTAGCTCTGATCCCGATTTATCTAAGATGTCTTTGCTAGGACCTAATAATGTATGATGAAAAACTTACTTCCTCTTTTGATAGTGTCCTAGCACACCCTTAGAACTGTATTTGCTCCTACCTATCACTTTTGACTTTGGTTTATATCCTCTTCCCGGGGTGGTTGCTACCGCCTTCATCAGTGGATCTTTCTGTGTGATGATTGATCTGCTGTCTTGCAGATATGTCATTGCCTGTTTCCTTAGAATGTAGTGGCAAATTTCTTAAAATCAATACATGTTCATATGGTGAGGAAGGTGAATGAGAAAGTGCTGACACTTTAAAAAATGTTGCCTAGTTGCTAAATCTCGATCTAACTCTGTGTTGATGATGATTATTGATACAAGCTCTGATAAGATTTTCCAAATCATATATTGCACTTACCAAATGACTTGACAAACTTTAACCGAAATTTTCAGGGAGAGAGAGAACCCTCCACGATTTGCTCAGCACGGCACCTTTGAGTTCGAATATTCCCAGAGATGGAAATCTTTAGATGAAATGGAAAAGCAGCAAAGGGAGCAGGTTGAGAAAAACATGAAAGATGCAAAAGACAAGCTGGAAAGTGAAATGGAAGATGCCTATCATGAACATCAGGCAAATCTTTTACGCCAGGGTAAGTGTGCTCATCTGAGATGAAATTTGGGGTGGTCGTACTTAATTTGTGTATTAACTTACATTTATGGGGGAAAATTTAATTTTTAATATGCCCAGATCTAATGAGGCGTCAAGAAGAGCTGAGACGGATGGAGGAACTTCACAATCAAGAAATGCAGAAACGCAAAGAAATACAGTTAAGGTAGGATTTGTCTAGTAGTTCTAAGGAGATCTGAACTTGTTAAACAACTTGGTATGTTACTTAGCAACCAAGGAGAATACTAGAAAGGACTCCCATTTTCCAGCTGAGCTGAGGCATACAGGTTTGAATGGCTTATCTGGTATTTTATACAACTATATGAGTAGCAGAGCCAGACATCAGCTCGATTCTGAATTCTCCCTCTCCTTTGTTCACTCCTTTGTCCCCCCCCCATGGTGAAACAGCCATCATATTTACTTTTATATGATGATCTCTAGAATGTTCACGTAAATGACTTTGAGATTTAAAACGAGTGCCTTTTTCTAGGCAAGAGGAAGAACGACGTAGAAGAGAAGAAGAAATGATGATTCGCCAACGTGAGATGGAAGAGCAAATGAGACGCCAAAGAGAAGAAAGTTACAGTCGGATGGGATACATGGATCCAGTAAGTGTTTGGAGAATGTTAAAAATTGGTATACCTGTGAACTGAAGTAATAGAAATATATAGAGTAAGATTTATACATTTTATTTCACACTTTCAGGCTTCTGCTTAACCTAATCTTTGTCAGGAGTTTTGGCTTAAGTGTTCAGTACCCTATAGATTGTCCAAAATGGGGGGAAAGGGAAAGGACCCTATATTGAGATCTTGAAGTTAAAGTTAACATTTGACGTGGTGATTTATCTGTAACTATAAATTTTTATAATCCCTGTTTTATCCTACAGTATTGTATCATTCCTTTAGTACTGGAATTGAAAAGTTTTGTCTTTGTTTTTTTAAGTGTGTTGGAAAGTATAATTTTTGCATATTGGTAACTAAGCATTAACATATTTTCTTTACAGCGCGAGAGAGAGATAAGAATGGGTGCAGGAACAATGAACATGGGAGGTAAAAATTAAAAATGTATATTTCTTTAAACAGCATTAGTTGACTGAGTAATTGGATTCAAATTATAACTGGTGTTTTTGTTTCTTAGATCCCTATGGCTCAGGGAGCCAGAAATTTCCACCTTTAGGTGGTGGTGGCATAGGTTATGAGGCCAGCCCTGGAGTTCCACCAACAGCCTTGAGTGGTTCCATGATGGGAAGTGACATGGTAACGTATCTTCTGGGGACTTAATGAGGGAATTTCTCATTTTCACCTTTTTTAAATTTTTTTTTTTTAAAGCAGATGACTTTGAACTTTCTTTAGTTCCCCTAGTCTTTGTAAATAGTGATGGAAGATTAGTGTGGCGATATATATATATATATATATGTGTATATATATATATATATAGAAAGCTTTTTCAGCTGTGTGGTAACTTAGCTGAAGATAAGGTTGCCAATAATGGAATCGGAAACATGCTTTCTGGAATATTTGCAGTTTTCTTTGGCATTTTAAATGGGTTTGAAGTCTTCATTCTGTTGCTGATGCACTTTTGATTTAGTGCGCGGCAACCCCAAATTCCTAGTGTTAGTGAACATACCAGATTACTCTGTATCTAAGTAGGAGTAATCACATGGCAAAGTATCATTTTTGTAAGCTGGTATTTGCCATATGCATTAGAATCATAGTTTGTAGCTTTAGGCATGTTTTAGTGATAGGACTCTGGCCTTTATTTGCTGTGTCTTCTATCATATGACAAGAGAATTCTGATTGTGTTCTGACTCGTCGTTTCCCACTTGTTGGGTCTGTCTGTGGTTACAGCCTCTTAATTCAACTTACATCTCCATTTTGTTCAAGGGTACATTTAAGACTGTAGATTATTTAACATACTAATTGTGTGCTCTTGATCTGAGCCCTCTTGATGCTATCGTGATATAGTTTCACTACTGATAGCTTACAAGAATGCTTGGGAATAATAATTTGAACTGATTTGAGTGGTTGCATTAGGCTTTCACCATCCTTATAAACTACACTGTGGCATTAGAAGGGTTTAGAGGGCGATTTAAAAAAAATTTCAGGGGATCTTTGAGATCACTTTTCGGCTCCGGTGAGCTGCTGTGGCTTACCAGATCATCTCTTTACATTAAAGTGAATTAGATAACTTGAGGTCAGTTTAGCATTATGGCCTTTTCATAAATTTGTTAGCCTTTTTGAGAATAAAAAGGAAAAGATTTCATGCTTTAGTTTAACATTTTGAGTGGTTTAGTAAAACCCAGAGCACCTTCCTGCTTACTATTCACTAAAGTGCTAATAAAAGGTGCCTGTCAAATTTGTAGCAAAAATTTGATAGTGTTGTTCCTGTGGACAAGGTTCTGTGTTCCATATAGCTCGTGGTAACACGTCACTTAATGGCTGCTCTTGTGTTCTTAGTTGCAATTAAAATTAATCACAAAAAGCCAGAAAATCTTGCAGATTTTAACAGTCCACTACTTAGAAGAATTAAAGCCAGTCTTTACAATATCTCTAGTATTTTGAAAGATTCTTTTCTTAGTTGTTGGTATTAGTTGTAGAAGCAGTAAATAACGATTCTACTCTATTTTTAGTAGTTGATGGGATAGTGGTTGATATCTAATTTTATTTGAAATGCAACTCTACACAAGTTAGGCTTCCGTGCTCCTTTTTACTTGGTTAAAAAATACCTGACATTAGAAGCAGTCTTGAAATCACTGCTTTATTGCAGTCATTTGGGCTTGTTGGTACAGCTGTGTGGGAGATGCCAATAAAGCCTTGAAATCACAGCGAAGTTCCGAAGTGGACTTTCACAAGACCTGGGGAAATGTTGGGTTGTTTAATTGGATGCACCTCACTCCTGTGTCTTTAGTTAGCTTGAAACAGTCAGATAGTACTGTGAAATTCTATCTGGCTATGTAGCTATGGCTCTGAAGTGAGAATATGGCAACAAGTTTTTATTAAGTTACTGTGCTGGTTAGGTTAAATCATTAAATCCATTAGTCTCTTATGCTTTTTCTTTTTGTAGTCCAGTAGCACTGTATTAAAACTTTCAACCTTTTAAGACATCTGCAGCTTAGTCAGCAGATCTGTCTTAAGCCCATCTCGAAAAGCACAAGCTCTCTAATGCAGCACATGCCACTAACTGGTGAGTAGGCCTTTCATGTCAACTCAATACTGAGTGAATTGAATCTTTCTGGTTAGGCTTTCTTGGAAATTGACTGGAGTCAACTAAATTTCTCTGCTCAGACCTTGAGTATGCAAGCTTCTCTCTGGGTTAATGAGGTGTGAAAATTTCTAGAACTCATTTTTGGAATGGGTATTCACATCTGCACTAATACTTAAATTTTTTAGCACTACAGGGAAGATCTGTTCTTTGAAACACAGGTGTATGAGAATGGATCAAGTGGGAACATACCTCAAGGCATGTATTACCATAAACTAATTTTCAAATTACCCTTTTTTCCTTTCTATGTTCCCGGTACCTGTGGATCGACTCAATGGTGATTGTATCGACGAACGTTGACTACGGAACCTTCTAAAAATATTTACTTAACACACATGGACATCAACTACATATAATGAACTGTTAATACTGTTCCAATAGCGTACTGAGCGCTTTGGGCAGGGAGGAGCTGGGCCTGTGGGTGGGCAAGGCCCTAGAGGAATGGGACCTGGAACTCCAGCAGGATATGGTAGAGGGAGAGAAGAATATGAAGGCCCAAACAAAAAGCCCCGATTTTAGATGTGATATCTAGGCTTTCATTCCAGTTTGTTTTTTGTCTTTTCTTGTTTAGACACCGATCTTTTTAATTCTTGCATTTTAGTAAGAAAGCTACATTTTTATGGATGTTAGAAATTTATTGACCTAATACTTGTAAATGGTCTGTTTGGGCGAGGAAAATTATGTAATGCAGTGTTTCAAAAAGGGAGAAAATCTAGCTTTTTTTTGATGTATAACGTCCCTAAAGTTATGGCAGTGTACCGTGTGCCACTGAATTCCCAACGTGTACCAATTTTTTTTACTGTGCTTCAAATAAATAGAAAAAACTAGCTATAAATTTGATCTTTAATTTTGCCATTCATGCTTTCATCATATTAGGTCAGGGAATACACCTTGCAAGTTTAAGACTCTTGGCCTTTGAAAGGTACTTTTCATTTGTGGGATGATCTATTTAGAGGCAAGTTTTCTTTCCACAAATGGTTCTAGTTTTAAAGAAGTAACGGTTACTGAAAGAATAGTAATTATTTGCTTGCTGTGCATTACACATTATACAGCAATGAGGATAAGCTGTCTTGAGTATTTTGGAGATGGTGATGTAAGTTGAAGCAGAACTGTAAATCTTCTGCAGGAATATGTATCAAGATTATGGAATGGGTTTTAGAACTGCTGGTGGCGGGAGGAGGGTGGGCTGGCTGAGTTTTTTTTAAATAGCCCTATCTATGACTTTTACCCTGTGCTTAGTAGTTTTTAAAGTTGGGAAAAAATAGGTCATTTCACCCCTCCTTTTACCCCAAGACCAAACCCTAAAGAATGGCTTGTATTGACTTCTTCCAAATTAAAGATTGTTAAATGTGAAGACTTCATGCATTACTTTTAAGTGGCTCTATAAACAGGGAATGTGTGTTCTGCCTGAAATAGTTAACCTACCAGAGAAAGCTGCAAGGTAGTTGAATGACCTAAAGCAGGGGAGAACCATGCAAATTTGTACTCTGTAACTTACAGCTCCTTGTGCTACTTCTGTTGGGCAAAATACAGCATAGGTATACTAAACCTAGAAGCTTCAAGAACCTAGCAGATCTCTTTTCTGAGAGCTAGTGGTGATCACATTCAGGGCTGTAAATTAAGTATTGAATTGTAGATCTGGCAGATATCCCTATAGTTGCTATTTGGTGTTATCAGATAAAGTAGCACTAAATCTAGAGGGCATAGCTCTTGCTACACAGTACAAATGTTACTCCCTTTTAAAGCTTTTCGAGTGTTTTTCGATGGTGTTGCCAGTTAATTGTCAACTTCATTGAATCCTTCACTCTAGAGTATCTCATGATGTAATATTAATGTAGTTGGTTGCCTGTGAGTGCTGGGAGCCTGACTTCCCAGTGTTAAATACATTAGCAGAGGTGTGACCATCCTGCTTTGACTGGTTTGGCACTGTTCTTAGTTATGTATTTCAAAACTTGTATATTATATATAGCTGTTCTATGGTATTATTCTCCCTCTTCCTCTTCTTGTTTTCCCCCCCGTGGTACTAATTGGCAAATGTGAAATTCTAAGCCAAACCTTTGTTAAAAGGCTAAAGCTTAGTTCTGTAGTTTGCCTATGTATGAAGGCAGACTTTTTGTTAAAATAATTGGGCTCTTGAGCAATGGTGAGTTAGTAAGTCCCCAAATGTAAAGACTAGCGAAGCAAGTCTCATGACCAAAATACTAGTAGTTACTGGATGCATACAATGTGCTTAATTGAGGTAGACTCTTTGATATTGGCTAATCTTATGCTCATTCCTATTTTCCACCAAGTTATAAGGAGAGGGAAATTGACTTTCTACCATCTTAAGTTTAGGAAGTTTTGCCCTATCAGTGACACATGAGATCTTCTCTGGACACATATCTCTTGGCTTGAAAGCAGTCCCATTAGAACTTGGTTAAATTGTAGTAAGGACCCAGCTAATTACCAAAAAAACTATTCAAACTATTCGTGGGACACCCAAAGAGGGTGAACTTGATTGTGGGGGGGTGGGGGATGGCGGGGAAATTGGGAAGTCTGCCTGTAAAATTAATGTTTCAGTTTATTTTTCAGATTACATGCCTTTCTTTATAAAAGAGATGCTGGCACAGACCCTAAAATAAGCTTTAAGTAGTACTGTACCTTTGAAGAGTGGTAAAGGATGCTAATGGATAACCTGAAAGTTGTGGCTTTTGATACCCTTATCTTGGGCAGTAAAATTGCTAAACATAGTTTAGCAAAGAACTGTTCAGTTCAACTGACATTTGACTTGTAATGTTAACAGCAGTGTACCAAGTGTTGTGAACTGCTCAAAATTGACTTTCAAAAAGTTCTTTTGAGATCCTTTGTGCTAAACAGGTGTAAGTTAGTCTTAACTAATTTGAATTTAAATCATTTTAAAAGGAAGTTTTCTAAAAGCTTGATTCACATGGGTTTGGAGAAGGGTGGTGATTAGCCTAGTCCATAATTATTGGGTTTTGGTAGTTTCTAATCTATTAATAGTCATTGTTAGCCATTTTTCTCCTTTAAAAAAAAAACACCCTTTTCACACATACCCCTCCCCTTCCAACTCTTTCATTCCCTTTTCACTTTTCTCCCTTACTCATAATTTTGATTTGAATTGGGCTTTAAGAGGACCACTGGTGCTTTCTATGCAGCATAATTTTTAAGTATACTTCAATCCTCTTAATCTTAAACTGCATTCTGTAGAACCCCCAACTCTGGGTAGATTTAGCAGTTAGGTAGTAAATAAGCTTAATGTATTTGCACACAGTCCCATGAAATTGTAATCCTCTTTGCTTAGTACATTAAGCATCCTTTTTAAACTTGTAGGAACATAATCCCACAGCTGCATAGATGCATTATACCATTTTAACATAAACAGATTACAATTTATGAGAAATTGTAACATTACATCTGTGAGGCTTTATGTGGCATTTTATGGTAGATTAAAATCTAGATTCTTGGCTTCTCCTTGGCAGCCACTTTATTGTGGCAGAAAGTTTTTCTGGTATTCTTGGACTGCAATTGTGCAAGTAGTGGCCTGCTACATAACTGCATTTAGCCAGCATTTCTGCAGTGCGTAACTGTGAGGAACGTAGTACCGCAAATGGCAATGGACATTAGGACCCGGATGTAGTATTCCTGCTTGCTCCAAGATTCTCATTGCCGACTGCATACAGGTAGGTAACAAGCAATATAATCTAACTTGGTGACTTGCTATGTACTTTTATTCTGTGGGCATTCTGACATCACACTTCTGATAATGAAATTACAGTGCAGCACCCAACACTTGTATGTTGAAGTTAGCTTTCATCAAAACTGCGTGGGTTTCGGGTTAGAGCTGTAATGTAAGCAGAATTCAGTGCTGTATTGCAATTCTGAGAAAAACTGCAAACCTCTGATGCCTTGGTATCTGACTCAGTTGTGTGGCTTTCTTTGGTTTCCTTGTATGACTCTGAAGATAAAATCGAATACTGCAGCTCTGGGGAAGAGGGGGTACATAACCAAAAAACCGTACTTAGGTACAGTTGGGTACTCTTAGAATCTTGAAACAGACTTTATAGCATGTTGTCTTCCGTAGCAGCAAACTGACCCGACCAGGTCAGCATGGGTAGACTGTTCATTATACCATCTTGGTGTAACCATTTCTGTAGGATAAGTGAATTAAGATACAAAATACAGTTTACTGTATTGTGCATATTTTTAAAAGGGGGCTCCTTGGGAACTCTGCTTGTTAATAATGGGTTCAAGTGGGAATCTTCCAGTGTGAACAGTTCTCTAGTTTGTGGCTTGTCCAAATCTGTCTTATACATTTAAATGCTGAGGTGTTGGGTGGGAGGACGTTGGTATGGCATATTCATTTGCCTGTAGTAGAAAAAAATCTGGGAATCATGGCTTCCCAGTAATTGCCAACAGTTGAACCAAATCTGGGAATCATGGCTTCCCAGTAATTGCCAACAGTTGAACCAAATCTGGGAATCATGGTTTCCCAGTTTAAAAAACTCGTCGTGATGTAGAATGAATATAATCTTTAGAACAGTCTTGTGAACTTGTCTCTGATTAGCTTTAGGAATGTGATGGTTCTAAACTCAAATTGCCAGAAAATGCAAGTCTTCCAAAGCACCTTCTTACTGTTCGGGAAGGATGGACTTAAGCTTGTATCCATTGTTGTTTTAGAATTTGAAGTTTTAACTTAAATCCCTGAGCTGGTTCTTGGCTAATGCATAAGAACAGGTTTCAGGTGTATTGATTTCTGCTTTGTAACTGCAAAGTTGTGACAACTCTGCATGAATGCTGGTGTAGACTTTCCTTGACCTGAGAATTTTTTCTTCAATTGTATTTCCTAGCAAAATAGTTTGCTCATTAGCAAAGTTTCCAAACTGAAGACAGATCTGTACTTTGCTCTCTAATCCATTCAAGCAAGTAGTTTCTGTACTTTTGATGTCTCTTAATGAATAGTTTAGCTCACTGTAGTAGTAACATGATGTAGCTTGTATTTCTGTTGCTGAGCAGGTGACATCAGTGTCACTAAATCTGGCTTCTAACACTATGGGGTTTTCTGTGCATTAAAAAATGTTAAATCGGTGGCCATATTTGCTACCGTATCACTAGTGCTTGAATGTTTTTTTAGGATTTATTTTTCATTAGTCAGTATGCTCTAGGTGCATATACTTGACATAACAGTTTGGACTTTAGGAACATCATGAAGGGGTTTATCACTTTGCTTTGTTCTTCATCCTTGAAACTGATTGGGTTTTCACTCTTACAGAACAAGCAGCCTGTGACATAAATGGGTTTCCATTTGCTTTAGTTATCAAATGTGAATCTCAGTGCAGTAGGTCTCCCCACCCAGAAAAAAATATAAACCTCAGCCAAAAAAGTTGGGAATAAGTGGGTTTCAGTAATGGAAATACCAAGGTGTTTGCATTGTATTTCATGGTTTTACATTACCATTCAAAACTGAACAGGTGCTTTTAAAATTTAAACAATTTGAAGCTCAGAGGTGTGATGCCAGAATGTATTTGAGTACTTGTTAGGCCCTTGGAAACAAGATAATGGTGCTGTTTGAAAGATGAAATACAACGGGTGCTTTTACTGAGAATACTGTAAAGCTACATACGAAGTATGGATGATGGTTGCAGTTTCCCCAATACTTAACAGATGCGTGTGACTCGTTTTTTGGACTCTAGCTTTAATGGGGGGTTGCATGTCTCCTATTGTTAATCATTGTTAGCTGCAGTGACATGATTTGCAAGACCTGAGTTTTATTGCCTTTCCCTAAAATGTTATGGGGCATGTTTTTGGAGAGCCATGCTGTTTGTTCTGGACCTTATTTGCTGATATGTCAGTGCTCTGTCAGCTAGTACAGTTCTCAAATGGCTGCCTACTAGGGAAAGAATCTGGAGGATTCACTACTCCTTTTTCATCTGTCATTGCTGCTAGATAATGATTGGCAATTAAAAGACTTAACTGTGGAAACCCCACAGTCATCTGAAAAACCCATCACATAAAATGTTGCTTTAAAACACCAGTGCTGACAAAGTTGGGTTCCCCCTTTCCCCCTCCTTCCCCTCCTCCCCCGGGTGAGATGGGCTGGATAGAGTAGGACAATCTGGAGAGGGGTTGGATGCAAAAAGATATAGTATCCCTTATGGATGGTACATGTGCAACAGGGAATTTGGGAGGAAGAAAAGCTTGGAATTGGAACTTGAATTAAGGCTGATCTTGTTTTTGTGCACTGTGGGCCTGCATTGTGAATGTGATGTCCTCTCCCTCTGATGAGGAAGGCCATGTATTACTCAGGTTCCCTTGGTGTGGCATTGTTAGTCTGCCCTAATATAAAAGCCCAGTGAG